TGGTGGCCAGGAGCTTGTTCCCAGCAACAGAAGCAGCTCCCCTCGCTTTTATGAAGCGTCTGGAGCCCTTTCAGGAACAGCAGACTCAGTGCTATACCCAGAGGCGGTCCTGTTACTCTTATCTCTTGGGAGGTTACCGGGTCCTGGAGCCGTGTGCCGGGGACCATGGAGGGAGGCACGTGCGTCCCTGCACGGGCTCTGTCGCAGCCTCCCGCCTCCCAAGTACCAGATGCTCCGTCCCTCCCAGGGACCCAGTCTGCTCTCCCTCCTTTACCCCCGTTGGGGGTTCAGCTGTGTAAGCAAGTCCGCCCCAGCCGGCCCCCGGGTAGGAAGGAGCGTGCCTGGGGTATAAAATGGGAGGAAATGGGGAGACCCTGCCTGGGCACAGATGCTGGCAGGGTCTCCGTGGGAAGGGACGTTACCGACGTGTCCTGAACACAGAGCATTTCTTCGAGGGCCCAAAATAAGGCAGTCGGGTGGACCCGGTGTCCTCACTGCTGTCTAGTTAAGGCAGGCACCGAACGTCGCCCTCCGCCCAGCAGGTGTAGCCAAGGAGGTGAGATGGGGCCTCGGCCCGCGGCCTCTCCTGGCGCTGCTCACGGAAGAGATTCGCCCAGGATAGCTCATGAGTCAAACATGAGTTATTTCCACCGCGGTCCCATCCCTTTGAGAACCTGCCCGGCCTCAGTTTGCTAAGGACAGTGAGACGAGACGCGCGTGTGAGCCCGAGGTCAGATGAGCTGCTCAGATATTTGGGACAAAAGTCGACAGCCCGTTTTAGGTCGGGCTATTCTGGGAAGGAAAGTGGCTATGAATAGCCCCTCACCCCCGCGCTGTGTGACCTACATTTGTGCGGTAAACGCATCCTCGTAAATGTGTGTGAGGCGAGGTTTGAGTGATAAAACCGTTTTCCCTCCGCCCCCGCCCCCCCCAGCATCCCGGCCAGAGGTGCCTTCTCACGGAAAAGTGTCTTGGCCTCGAGTTAGCGGTGAACAGAGACTTCATGTTCTCGTCGCTTCCAGGAGCGTCTTCTGCTAACACCCAGATTGTCCGAGTCTCCCACCCGGATGTGACCGTGCAGGACGTGATCGATGGCCGATCCTCGTGGATCACGCGGGCCCCCCGCGGCGCGAGGCCCTGGGCCGTCCACGTGGGCTGGCCCACGGAACGTGAGCCAGGTGGAACGTCTGGAAGAAGCACATGCCACTCAGTAGTATCTCAGAGCGGGAACAGCTGGAAGACTGTGGAGAATGACCGTCCTTGGAGTCAGTTCTTTAAAATCCCGGCTTGGAAGATTCCATTGTGAACCCTCAATAGGATTTAGCAGAGTTTAAGTAAAACCGGGGAACCCTACATGCTTTTATCACCTCCAAAGATAACGTGCTGGTTGGCCCCACAGGAAATTTTAAAGTGCGTTCCACCCTTAGAGAGTTTAGATTCTTCAAAAAGTTTTATCTGTGTTCCAAGGACTATGGAAAATAGGCAAGTTTGAAAGAGGCCAGCACAGGGGTCGGGTTGATGAAAATGACAGCCTACGACGCACGCAGCCCGGCCGCGCAGCGGGCTCCTCGGGGAGTAGTTTTGTGAAGAGCCCCCCTCGGAGGGGAGCCGAGGCACCGTGTGAGGACCGGGCACTGAGCTGACACTTCGGGGTCCAGCTCACCTTTAGTATTTACTCTGAGCAACGTCAAAACTGCTTTGCGGTGGAAAGCGTGGAGCAGAGGGGTGCCCAGGAGGGACCTGGAGGGCCGAGAGGAGCAGCAGAGCAGGACAGGAGAGGGGGCTGCCCTGCGGGTGGGCACGGCCCAGGGCTCTCAGCAACGCCGGGGGGGAAATGACTCCGGTGGAAACCCACCCGAGGGAACCCGGGCAGTTTCCTTCTCGGGAGAGATCCGTCCATCAGAACCTTCTCCCGTCTTTGAGCAAGTGCGAAAGGCAGCCATGTGGACGTGGGCTCGGCGGCTGGTCCTTGCCCTCCAGGCCGCCGTGGTGCACACGCAAGGTCACTCTGTAATGACAGGGAACTCTGTGTGCACCCCATATTGATTCTTAAGTGGCCCATTAAGATACAGACCTTGAGTTGTTAATAGGGTGAGTTAGGGCGCGCAGGTGCTGAACTGTTACGGAGCTTACATTAAGCTGTTACTTATCAGCTAACCATGTAGGACATGAGTGGTGTTTATGATGGATAGATAACATTCTAGAACATTCCTGAAGGCCAGGTCTGCGGGCTTCAGTGTAACTTATACCTTTCCCCGTCAGACGAACACCCCGAGGACTCAGGAAATACTCAAGGCACTGGGCCCCCGATTTGGCGGCGGGCTCTTGGGGCTCAGCCATTGCCCACAATTTTTGTCATCGCAGGCAGGTGTTGCTTCCTCGGTTTACAGCTGAGGACTCATCTCAGGCCACACAGCCTGCAGGGACAAGGGGACCACGGGGGGTGTGCCTGTACCTCTGGGTCCTGGTTTTCTGTGAACCCCACTTCCCTCCCTCCCCCACCTGCCCCCAGGACTCCGAGCAAGAGCTCTGCCTGCTGACTTCGGTGTCCTCCCATGTGATACATTAAATATTAATGCCGTGGTAATTATTAATTATTAATTCAGCACTTTTGTCCTCTTAATATCTGGCCACGGGATTAATATTTGACCGCTCACCACCTGACCTACAGCAGCGTCGCCTTCTCCCTGCACAGGCCCTGGGAATGCAGGGCCCGCAAGCTGATCTCCCCAAGTGGGACTCTGGGTCCGAGTCCTGTGTCCCTCCCTCCCTCCTTCCAGCCCGTCCATTCCTCAGCCAGCCTCTGTCCCCCTCCTGTCCCTGTCTGTCCGTCCGTCCGTGTGTGGTCTGCAGCCTCTCTCACGTGGTGTCCCAGCTCCTGGGCCTTCCTCAGGCAGGTGTTTGCCTCTCTGCCTCTTGTTCTGCCTATTTGTGCCCTTGCACCTCAGGAAACTTTTGTGTTGGGCGCGGGAGAGGCAGGGAGGGCCAAGTGTTCCGGAAAGTTCTGTGAGCTCATTCATTGAGCAGGCACCTGGTGAGCTTAAATTGGTAGCTGCCAAACTCGTTTTCCAATTCAGGGTTTGCTACTTAGCGCTCGTGTGATCTTGGCACGCCACTTAATTCCTCTAGGCCCGTTCCCCCGCCGGTGCGCCAGGTTCACAGCCACCCTGGATATTGTTCTGCGAGAAGTGGATGGACTGGAGCTAATAAATAACGTTCTCAAGTGTTTACCCGGCGCCGGGCTCTGCTATGGAGCAGATAATAACTAACCCACTGCTTACACCCTCCCTCGGGGCAGGTGCGATTGTTCACTCCCCACCAGAAAAACAGAAACCTGGGGCCCCTGGGCCAGGGCCCGGTCAGCCGTCCCCGGCATGTGACCTCTCAGCTCTCGGCCCTGCTAGTTAGGAGCCATTGCCTTTGGGAGGCTGAGGGTCTTGCTGTCATGAGCCCTGTGCGAGCCCCTTGTTTGTTAAGTGGGTGTCACATGGGGCCGTTAGGGGAACAAACCAGACCGAATACGTGACCAGCAGTGTGCTGCCTTGGAGTCACCCTCAGCTCTTATTTACCAAGTTGTTAAAAAGTGACTGATCTGGAAAACACAGAAAAATGAGGCCAGTGTTATTACAGTGTATGTGTTACAAACGAGAGAGACCCACTCAAGCGAGCTGGAGCACAGTTATTCCACGGGTGTAGGGATGTGTGCCAGAGCTCCCAGCAGGAAGCAGCCAGGCCTCAGGAAGGATGGAAGCCCAGCCATGCACAGCTGCCCGGAGCCCAGCCCACATCCCGGGTCCCAGCTCTGCCCCTTCCCCAGCCCTTTCCTCCATCTCTGAGAGTGTGCTGGGTTCCATCTGTCACCACGTATGATCCAGGTTCCCCAGAGAGACAGAGCCAGTAGGATGTGCATTTACACACACACACATGTACACATGGTACATAATGGGGAGGGGAAGAGATTTAAGTGATTGGCTCACATGGTTGTGGAGTTTTAAGTCCCAAATCTGCAGGGTGGGCCAGCAAGCTGGAGACCTGGGAAGGAATTGCAGGAAAGAGCCTGAAGGCAGAATTCCCTCTTGCTGAGGGGGCATCCATCTTTTCTTTTAAGGCCTTCAACTGGTTCGGTGTGGCCCCCCCACATTATGGAGGGTCATCTGCTTCCCTCAGTCTACTGATTTAAATGCTAATCAAATCTAAAGAATATCTTTACAGCATTATCTAGAGCTGTGTTTGACCACAGATCTGGGTTCCTTGTTCCAGCCAAGTTGACACATGAAGTTCTCCATCCTAGTCTCCATGTGCACCTCTCTTTCTGGCATTTTTTGTCATTCTCACCGGCATTCTCTGTGCACTCTGTGTGCCATCTTTGCTTCTCTCTCTGCATCTGCCTCAGACCCTCTTCCATGAAAACAGGCTTCCCCCAGCTCACAGGCCATGTCAAGGGCAGAGGAGGGGCCCCTAGAGGTGCACAGCCCACAGTGAGCCTGTCCACCATGGCTTTGGCCAACCTGTAACCCTTTTGGTGGCTCTAGTGGGCCAGGGCTGGTGTCATTGCTGGGTGCTGTTCTGTTCTTATCTCTCTTCTAGATTTTCAGGGAAGGGGGAATCCTGATTGGCCTAATTAGGGCTCCATGTCCATCTGGGATCCAGCCAGCTGAGGCCAGGGAGGTGGGGTCATGCTGTGCCACCACAGCTGAGCGTGGCCTACCCACCCTGATGGGTATGTGCCCTGAGCAAGTGCTCTAAAAGGTGTCTCCTGTCCAGCCAGATAGAAATCTAGTGGGACTACAATTACTGAATTGCATTTGGAATATCAACAACTATTAATAAATGCAACAGGCACAATCCTTACTGAAATAGCTACTTCTCAATTATAGTACTGTGTCCTCAAGTGATATTTTTCAATGTGAGTTTTGGAACCTGGTCGCTAAGGTGCACATTTGGCTGTGACCCCTCACTGCTGCTAATGTTACTTTTTTGCTTTGCTTTTTAACACCCAGAGGATGATCTGGACCTGGAAGCCCTGATGAATGACATGAACACTTCCATGGAGAGTTTGTGCCCAACTGGTAACATGCAGTCTGAGTCGGTGCCCACACGTCAGAACGGCCAGCACACTCGCGGCCAGCCACCACCCTCAGGAACAAAGCCCCCTGAGCCGAAGGCATCCTCACAGCAGAAGGTGCAGCGCTCCCAGCCCATGCACATCACGGCTGTCAGGTGGGACCCAGAGCCTCCGGGGGAGCTAGTGGGTTGCAGGGATGCTGCTCTCTGCTAGCTACGTAGCGATGGCGGTGATGGGTGTTGGCCTCCTGATGGCCTTGTGAAATCCGCAGGCAGGTTACATACCTCTTCCCTGCGTGGCTTGGCTGTACCGGGCTGGGCTTGGTCCCTGGTTCAGGACAGATGACTCACTACCTGCTCTGTGCCACGCGCTGGGCCAGGTGAAAGAATTGGAAGGGGACTGTCCGAGGAGAGTGCCTTGGAAAGAATGAAGTGGCTGGTCAGTCAGTGGAGGTTCCCAAGGCCTCACTCCCCAGAGCAGGGCCGGCACCAGGGGCAGTGGCGTCCCGGGGCGCTTGCCAGACGGTGACTTAAGATACTTGGTGACATGCCCCAGGGGAGTGAGTGGAGGAGCCTTCTGGAAATTCCGGGCTGGAGGAGGGTCCCCTGCAAGCGTCGGGCTCGGGTTGGGTCCTGAAGGGTGAGCTGGCGTCTAGGTGAGCGACAGCGAGGGCCTGGTGTCGCGGATGGCAGGCCCGCCTTCCTTTCCGCGCGCGGGGACAGTCCCTTCCCGGCGCGCACACTTCCCTTCCCCGGTCATCCCGGGCGGACAGCGGGG